TATAGTTCGGTTTATAATGTACCTAACTCTGCAGCGTTAGTTTAAATGAGTTAATTATAGTTATGGTCAACAATATATGAAGTTGTCGGAAAATTAAACAACTGCGTTACATTTTGAATTTATTTTTAATTTTTATTAATCTTGTACAAAGAGAATCACTACGTATCAGTTTTAAACTGTAACGCTTATAATTAACTTCTTATAAAATTAAATCACAGAAGTTATCAGTTTCATAGAGTATCCTTATTACTTTAGATTGCTGCGTTACCAAAATTTAATTTTATAACATAAACTTTTATATTTATCACAAATAAAAACTTAAAATTAATACCAACTTACAACATAATCTTTCAATTTTGATGAGTAATACGTATGTATGAAATTAAAGCATGTGAAATAATTAGAATCATAGATATATCGAAAATACTATAAAAAATCTGAGGGACACAAAAGTAACGCAGTAGTAAGCCCAGTAACGCAGTAGTATTTTCTTACATGTACATACAATATTTGTACTTTCTATAGAGATCTAGTATAACGATAAAAACATAGCAAAATATAACTTCCTATGACTCGATATAAAATAAAGTATCTTCAATGAAATAAATTTAAAAACTCAAAAAATAAAAATCACAAAATCAACCTTAATAACTAATGGAACACTTTCAAATCAGTCCTACTTTTCAAAGACGTTTAATGGCTTATCATAATCAAAGTATATCCTTTTACCTTTTACGACAATTTTAAGATTAGGAACAATTTCTAAGATGTTATCGTAAGGTTCGTAAGAAATATCAGTATCTACTGCTTTGAACCTTTTACCAGTTTTATCTACTGTCTTGTAAAACATAATTTTGACGTTTCCTTCTTCATCAACTTCACTTTTAGCAACACCTAGATAAGTGTAATGTTTGTCTTTAACAGAAGACACTTTTACTAAGACATGGACACCGTCTGATATCTTTGTAGGATGAATATTTTCCTTTTCAATTAATTGCCTTTCTTTTATATTAGAAACTGATGGTTGGTTATAGCTGGCTAAGAACTCGTCATCAGAGCTGGAAGGTGTGGAATAAACCGTATTGTAAAATGTTCTCCTAGGTACGATAATTATATATGAAATATCATCGAGAACTATTTCCTCATCCAATCCATCCAAGAGAATATCTTCTGTAAGTGTGTCAATAACGGGAGCAGGAACAGGGTGATAAGTTTTTGGGCTCATGCATGAGCAAAAACCTCTTTGGCAAAAGTAACTGAGATCTCTATATTGAAGTTCACCGGGAGTGTCAGTAAAAACTTGATGTACTAGCATCGTAACTTGAAGTGGTACAAGGTTTTTAGGTAGAGCTTTTTCAATGTTTTGTATGTCACTGTCGGTCACTAAATACAAACGGACCTTGCTTAACTCCTTCAGTGTTTTGGTGAGCGATAACCCTGGTTTTGTAGAGAGCATCTATAATATACTGCGCATTAGTATTTATCTTGCATAGGCAAATCTCTCTTCCAGAAACTGAAGGTGGCTTTATATAAAATGGCCTGTTTTTAATGAAATACGAATAAGAACATCTCAATTCTGGATTTTCTTTTTTAAAAGAATGAAATAGGTTTTTCATTGTGACTAGTAAATATCACTTCTGTATTTTAATTTTATTACAAGTGACAGTTTCCCGTTTTCCAGCCGTAGCTCTAGAAACATCGTCACGAACAAAAAAGCTTTTAATGCTGTTAACCAGATTTTTCTTTGAGGTATTCTGCTGTCGTTTTATCACTTTCATCAGATCAATTCCCAACGTCTCGCATACAATAGCAATTTTTATTTTAGAGTTAGATATGCCTTCTCCTTGAAAAATTTGTTTTAATGATTGTTTCTCTTTGATTGACTTCAAACTTCTGTAATGGTCTTTGATGGCATTGGATAATGTTGAATACTTATTTTGGTTAAGCTTATTTACTTGTTCCGTGTGTTTGATTGACGTTTTAGCTCTTTGGTATCTCTTTTTATATTTACTACACATTCTTTTCAACTTTTCTATTTTTTCCTGCAATTTCAAATTATTTCTGTACACTGCAGATCTATCTCTTCGTATTTGTTTTCGGCCTCTAGACCTCGGTAAAACTGGAGTTCCTGACCGCGGGCTCGACGTCGGTGTAATGTCCATAATTTGTTGAGCAGTTTTTTGTCGTTCTCGACGTTTCTTATTTGCAGTTTTCCATTTACGCTTAGCACTCCTATGTTCTCGCTCTGTCATAACTTTGACAAGTTTTTTATTTGCATGGTACCTTTCTAGGTATTTTTCTTAGCTTCAGCATTTCTCACCGGGTCTAGTTTTAATTTAAGCCTATAGCGACGTCGTTTTTCTGCCCTTGTTAACGCCATTTAGCGCAGAATCTTTTCTCTAAGATAAAAAAAGAGACAATATATGAAAATTAAGGCTTAAATAACGTATCACCAACATTGACAAATATATTATTTATTTTTATATATAGTTAGTCATATCTTTGTACTGTCAGTGTTAGAATATCTGCACTTTGGTATTTCATTTAGTGATTATTTACAACATAGTCAAATATTCACAATTGCGTTACCAATGCAACAACTGCGTTACATTTTTCAAGTAACGCAGTGTAGCAGTATCGCAGTTGTAAATATTTGACTATGTTGTATATAATCACTAAATGAAATAACAAAGTGTAAATATTCTAACACTGACAGATCCAATACATGACAAACTACATATAAAACAAATATTATGTAAATATTGTCAATACGTACCTTTCGACAGTGGTAACTCAGCGGTCATGCAATAAATACACGCACCTCTCCCGACGACTCCAACGCGTCTGATCTGACGAGCGTCCTCTTCCCCCGCGGTTGCCATCGTTCGTTATACGAGTTACAATATGTAAAGCCGAATAAGGTGCAAAAAAGGGTAATACACTCACTTTAAGGTTTATTTTCATATAGCAACGCAAGGTAGTTACGATTTTAGTATTTGTTAGGGACACAGTCAAAATAATTTTTTACTCCATTTTATATTTGTTAGGGACACAGTCAAACTAATTTTCTTTTTTGATGTAAAAAATATTTATTGGCATTATAAATAAGGTTTAGGGCTTAAATTTTTAAAGCGGAATTTATTATGAATCACCACCTAGGAAATATTGTGGAAAAAATCCAGAGAAGCTTGAGACATGTGCTCAAGGTCAACTGTATTTTGTATGAAGAACAAATGCGTTACTAAGAATGACAACATTGTTACTATATTTTTTGTTATAATGATGTATTTTCACTGGTCAAATCTTGTGTTCTGTATTAAACAATAATGTAATATTTTGAAATTAGCATACTCATTTTACACTTTTGTAGTGTTTTACCGTAAAATTCAACATTAGTTCAAAGGGACAGGTTTTTAGGCATAAAAAAGTATTTTGGCCCATGTATTACTTTAATACACAAAGAAGGATCCCCTAATATTTTTGGACATTGATCTGGAGCACATTTATAAGAATTGGCCACATTAAACGAGTCCAATTCATTTCCGACATTATTCAAATCGAACGTAGTGACTTCTTTTTATCAATAGATTTAGCAGCTAAAAATGGCAAATATTTGTTCCATCTATATGTAACAACAATAACAAGATACAAAAACTAAAAAGCAATTCTGACAGACAATAATCATTTGAGATAATATTATGAAGAATTTAATTAATTTGAATGTATGAACTGTGTGACATTTGAAAGTTTTTGTGTGGTAAGAATGTGTGGCGACTGATACGTAGCGACATCTAATTCATCGCAGCAACATCGCCACAGCAATCGATAGCAAGAAGACTAGCATCGTCACAGCCATCGATAGTAAGACGAATTGCAAAAAGTTTCAACAGCAAGTAACGAGATGGCGCTTAACCAATACAAACATCATAAATTAATAAATACAAGGCATTGATGACAAAGAAATCTACATTGCACAGAATAAGTTTCATAACCAATTAGCATAAATAGCATCTCCATCACCACAGTAGGAACCATACATTCAACCTTAAGGTTCCTAAAGATTCTTGGTATCGACGTATCGAGCGAGGTCCAGTTCCGTGGTCACTTAGAGGGTAAGGTTAAATAAGCATAAGCTTCTTAGAAGAAGCTTGGTGTGCTTAATAGATCCAGCACATCGCCTGCAGCTTTACAAGGCGCAAGTTCGGCCCCATATGGAGTACTGCTCTCATCTTTGGGCAGGGGCAACCCAATACCGATTTCTCCCTCTAGAGCGCATTCAGCGGAGAGCGACTCGAATCGTCGATTGCCGGGACACTTCAAGTCGGCTTGATCCACTGGCCGAAATCCACTGGCGTTAGAAATTTTCGAAATTTAGATATCAATAGAAATACGAAAAAGAATAAATAGAATATGAGTTTGTTTATTAAGTTTTGAAAATTAATTTATTTTTATACGTGATAGAAAACCGGAAGGGTTGTTATGGAGAAATCAAGAACGTACCGTAGCGACATCTAGTTTGATTTCGGGAACTAATGTCTTTTTTAAATACTTCCTCATCAGTACTTTTTTTTGTAATAACTTAATATTGACGAAATTAATATGATTAAATAATAACTTAAAATTTTAAAACAGTTACCGTTCATGTTTCCATTAAGATTATTTTAGTTTAATTTTTTAATGAACAATATTTTTTTATAATGACAAGATGAAAGAATTATACACGGCCTCCGTTCTTAGTCTGTGGCTCAGATTAATTTCTGAACTAAGATTAATTAAAATATACTTTAATTTATATACATATATAAATGAACCTTATTTCACTTGATATAAGTCCTGTTATAAATACTAAGTCCATCCATGTTGTGAACTGACTTGCTGTTTTTCTCTTTATAGTGGGTGGCTGTTTTTTTTCTGTTTTCTAATTTGCTTTCTCTGTCTAAGATTGCCAGAGTTATATATTTTTTCAATTGTAATCGAGTAAGAGTTTAAACGTAAAAAAAGTTATATTTTGTAAACGTTTTGCTAAATAAAATTAATAATCAGTCTCAATTCATTATTAAAACGTACATAACATTACAACGTGTAATTTAAACTTTAACTATGACTGAACAAGATACTCAACACTTTAGGATTTTTTTAAATCAACTGCAAAGAGAGGAAAGTAGACCGGTTGCTTTAAATGAATTGAAAAATTTGTTAATTTTAAAACCAGCAGGTGAGGCTAGAAATACTATAAGAGATGCTGGAATATCGAAGATTATTCACTGCTTAAATGTATCTGAAAAGTATGTACTCACGTATATAATGCTTTTTTTATGAATTATTTTTAACAATGTGCTATGACTTTATATTTTACCATTTACAGAACTGATATAGATTTGGCATGTGAAGTGTTAAAAATATGTTTCGAGAAATTCCAGCCTGGTGAAATTATAGTCAACTACACAGGACATGTTATGCATTTGTTAAGACATGAAAAAAGCTGTGTACGTAAACTTGCAGTAGAAGAGGTATGGTTACCACTTATACTAGTTTCTATCACCTATATAAATAGTTCTAGAGATAAAAGATGTCACTTAAAAGGTAACAACCTCAGAGAGTTGTTCATCTTTATCCTGAATACATGTAGACTGAATGGCAGGACTGAGCTTAATTAATTAAGACTTGAAAAAAGCTGTGTACGTAAACTTGCAGTAGAAGAGGTATGGTTACCACTTATACTAGTTTTTATCACCTATATAAATAGTTCTATAGATAAAAGATGTCACTTAAAAGGTAATAAACTCGAGAGAGTTGTTCATCTTTATCCTGAATACATGTAGACTGAATGGCAGGACTGAGCTTAATTAATTTGAACACAATTAATATTTTCTTTTTATACTTTCATTCTATAAAAGCTTATTTATTTTTTACCTTAGGTACATAAAGCAGTAACAGCGGATACTTGTCTCTTACCTATACCACAGTATATTGATGTATTTGTAGCAATTGCTCAACTTGTTGGTGATTCTGATATTGGTGTGGCAAACAAAGCTATTTTTATAACATCTAATTTACCATTTGAGGCATACCAGAAAGTATTAGAAGAAATGAAGATTAATTTAGAATATTCTGTTAACAGCAAATGTAACACTTATGAGGTAAGTTTACCCTATTATCATATATATATGATGTTATCATAATTTTCATAAGAGCTAATTTATTTATTTTTGCCCATCACAAAAAACTTCTAGCAACAAATTGCACCTCTGTTAATGGGGTCACAATCATATGCCATTTTTATATTTGAGAATAAATGTAATATCTTTATTTGATATTTTATGAAATTCAGAATTAGATATTTTACTGTCTTGTTAAAAAAATATTTCATAATAGTGAATGTACATTGGTTGATGATGATTTCAAATTAACTGTCATACAGCCAGTTGCACAAACATCCATAAAAATTGTCTTTAGTTTAAAGCAACATTACCCATACAAATTTGACATTCGTTAGAGCTTAAAGGCATCATTAAACCTCAATGGACGTTTGTGCAACTGACCGATAATGAGATAATATACTTAATATATATATTATTTAAATTGTATTGAAAAGAAATATTTGTTGCAATGTTACTATGTATGGTACCTCAAATATACAATAAGGTACCTCACCACATTAAAATAATCAATAGTATAAGCACATTTCGTAGCAAATTAAAATGTATGTTATTGGATATGGTTTATTGTAATGTTTAAATTTTTTTAAATGATAAATTTGAATGATTATATTTATTTTATGTTTTTTCTATTTATCTAATTTCAATCAGTGACTTGTGAACATAACAAATTATTTGTTGTATTGGTATTTTTTTAAATTATAATTTAAATAATGATTTTGTATGCCAAGTGGTGACATGCAGCATAAGTTTCATATGAATTGTGTGTCACCTCTATGTACCTACCTGTATTTGCAAATAAATGATTTGATTTGACAAGTATTCATAAAAGAAGCTCACTGTATTTAAGTTTTTTTATAACTGTTTATTTTAAGTGAAATCTAATAAGTATTATCATCTACTAGGTAATTATCAACATCACAAAAAAATCTCCTGAGCTATTTCAACTCACTGCTGATAGTGGTTACATTGATCACATGCTGGCAGAACTTTCAACAAGTGATATACTTTACCATCTCAACATAATTGAACTGTTGTCGAGATTGGCTGTGAAACCCTATGGAATAAATTATCTTGTCAAGCAAGGAGTATTGAAGAAAATCTCTGATCTATTCATAGACCTTCCAAATATTCCATGTGGAGGTTTATTGCTTCCTGGTTACATGAAGTTCATTGGCTGTATTGCTCACTACTATCCAAGAGACATATTTGAAAAATATCCTGTATTGATTGAATCAATGTTTGATATATTAGATAATGGTGATCAATCTGTTGTGCCTGTTACTTTGGACACATTTGGTTTCATTGGTTCTACAATTGAAGGGAAATTATGTTTGGCTGCTTTAGGTAGGTTACTAATATATTATTGACTAAGGACCAATTTGGATCTGCTAAAGAGGACTAAATTAGGCACCATTGAATTTGTGTAATAATGTATGTATCATCACCATAATTGTTGCCTGCTACAGGAGGAAATTATATCATTAATGGTGCAGATTTTGTCACATCACTCTCTGAAGTAAAAATATGTATTATTAGTTTGTGTTTTAAAATTATTGAATTCCGTTACTGCAGTTATTTTTAACAAATTATAATATTTAGTTTTGTCTGTGCAGGAAAACTATCATTGTGTTTAATTGTTGTAACACATTATTGAATTTATCTAGTTGTTTTTTTTTAGGAAGTAGATATACTCAGGCTATTGAAGGCTTAAGCCAAATTATTAAAAATAGCCCTACAGACATCAAAGTTCGTGCATTACATTGTTATGCAAATTTAATTAGTATAGAATCTGATCCAAATATACAATCAAATGCACCAGTAGATCACAGAGTAACGCTCATGACCAGAGAATGGTTTAGAAGCCTTAGTTATCGGCCTAACTCAATGGAATATTTGTTTGATTTGTGTAAAAATCCTTTTCCTGATATAAAATTAAGTGCCTTTGCTTTACTTGATGCTGTCTGTCAACATCACTGGGGCCAAGAACTAGTAGCAACAACAGCAGGTAAAAGTGCCTTATGGTCTATTATAGTTAGTCAGTTTAACGAGACAAATATTCAAATGAAATATAACCATCTGCTTTCATTAATTTCTTTTCAGATTATATACTTTCTTTTTTTCTAAATTGCACTATTCAAAACGGCTATGTGCATTATTAAATTAACTGTTAGCTCTCAATAACAACAAAGACATGAACAAACAAGAAGCAACAAAAGGATAATTTTTTTAAAATTTTTCAGGTTTCATTGAATACTTACTAGATCGTAGTGTTGATCACACAAAAGAAACAAAAGAAGTAAAATATGACATTATTAGAAGGCTATCTAGTTCGGCTGCATTTGATGCTAATATTATAACAAGACTCCAAACTTACGTAGATCAAGGACCATTTTATTCTGAAGTTATGCTAGAAGTTGCAATGGAAGACGGTGACTGAATCAAAGATTTTATGTTGCCTATTTATGTATTTAAATTGTATCGATGAAGGAAATATATGTTGTTACAGTAAAATAACTTTCTATTTAACAAGAATAAATTATGTTCTATTATTTTCTTCTTTTATTTTTTGTAGATGTCTCTGCTTTAGGAGTTGCTCTTCGTTTAGGTGCTTTTGATGCTTTACCACCATATTTTTCGGCCAGGTTATCAAGAAAAGAATCTAGTTGTTGGGCTCTGGAATTTTGCTTCTGTTTTATCATTACTTCTAAATTATTTGCTTCTGAAAAATAAAATTATTTGCAATAATTTCATATACTTGAAAAGGTATAAACATACACACAATATTAATGTTATAATGAGGAAGTATTTAAAAAAATAGTTTCCGAAATCAACTAGATGTTGCTACGGTACGTTCTCGATTTCTCCATGACAACCCTTTCGGTTTTCTTTCATGTTTAAAAGAAAATTAGTTTTCAAAACTTTTTTTTAATGAGTTAGTAAATAGGATTGGAAATGACTATTTTTGATCCATTCGTTTTCATCAACTTTTGCTAGAGTCGCCATCTAGTGAGATACTTTTTAGTGCTTTTTTTTTTTAATACTTCCTCATTCAGCTACAGATTTAATGATTTTGGAAAAATTGCAACCAAACTGAAGATTTTTGCAAACCCTTATTTGTGTGATATTGAGGAAGTACAAAGTCATTTAAGATAAAAAGTACACATTAACAATTACATATTAATTTATTCCCATATTTATAAGTCAATCTATAAAAAGCATTAATTTTGCATCAATTTTAAAGTACCTTCAAAACATTATTTTCAAATTAGGAATCTCTCTGGCCTTCAAATGAAAAAATTCAACAAAAACTAATTTAAATTGTCACTAATGGTAGATAGACCTTTAAAAAAAATATGTGACAGTTCATTAATGTATGGAAAGTGGACATAATTCTTTGTATAAAATCAGTTACTTGTTAGTAGTAGTTACTTTGTAGTCTACATTAAGTGTACGAAACAAATTCGGTGTGTTTTAACAATTTTAATAGCATTTTCATTTTTCTCTGGGATATGACCAATTATTTGTGGGCTATATAGATAATTTGGGCTTCCAAGGTTAATTATCACAAGTGCGGCCTGCCTTTAATTTATTTTGCCACCTTGTGGCCCTTGCTTACCAAAAGGTTGCCGATTGCTGCTATACTGGAAAATATTCTTGAAAAAGAAAATGCTTATAAATTCTTTGTCCCTGGTACTCTAGAGATGGGACTCGAACTCCAGACCTTTCACAATCTGGTTTGAGTGCTTAGTGCACAAATGTATACAGTCATACTTAATGCTTTGGGCATTCTCCAATATGAAGATACAACAATGATGAGTGTAAATTTGTAATTAAAGTGTAGAATTTATTTTAATTTATTACAAGATTTCTTTTGAGAAGCAAAGTTCAGGTGTGTTGCATGTATATATAGATATATCCTTTACATAAGCCTAGCTTGCTAGAAATTTAAGACCCATTTTTGGAATACAAATAAGTGGTCCAGATAATATTTTGTTATTTTAGATCATCTTGATTTCTTAAGATGACAGTAAATAACAAAATAGAGGTCTACGGACCCACAAAAGTTTAAGTAATGCTGAATTGTTGTAACAAATATAAAGAGTAAACAAGTACAAATTACCTAATCCCAATTCATTTTTCAATTCTTCAGCTTCTTCTGCTTCACGGTTTTCTTTGGCAAGGCGACGTTGCCGTTTCCTTGCTGGCTCATGTGTAAATATTTTATACGAAGGTATCTCTTTTTTTTCTATCATTTCCTGAAATAAGTGCAAGAAAGAAACATGTAAATCAGGTACTTCCCATATTGTGTATTAATAAAATATATTAATATTCCTGATATTATAGTGCCAAAGTTAATCAAAACAAAAGTGAACATGGGTAATTAATGCAAGTTAAAAAAGGAGAATGTTAAGAATAAAGTGTGATTACTTTATCTGGCAATTATAAAGAACCAATGAGAAAGTGCCATACCTAACACATTTAGATTAGATGAAAATTAATTTGACATATTAATCTGCAGCAGTGTAAATTATGATTGACAGTTTTAACTGATAATCTTAAATTTAAATAATGCTGTTATTTGCAATGCAGTAATGTAGATATATCATATATTTAATTACTATTAAAAACAAATAACTTTATCTCACATTCAGTATGTTTCGAATCCTAGGCTCATGTTCTGATCTTGCAAACTGAACTTGATCACAGATATAGTCCATATCTCCTTTACCTGCTAGATATGCATCTTTGAGATCTTTCTTCTCTTCCTCAGAACCTAAAACAAAGATCAATGAAAAAAATAGTTAATAAATATATTTCTCATTCCTTAATTAAAGACAGAATCTCCAAACATACCAACATATTCCTTTTCATATGCTTTTATGTCATCAATAGTAATTTTTTTGAAGAGCATTCTCCAGTAGATAGTCCAATCTCTATCTTTTATAACATTATATTCATCATCATCAACACTCTTGGTTTCATCATATAATGCCCTTTTGTTTGGGTCGCTTAAAATTGCATGTATGCCACCAAGAACTTTAAATTTCTCTGTAGCCTCAAGTTTAGCATCTTCTTCAACACGATCTGGATGGACTTTCAGAGATAATTTGTGGTATGCTTTTTTTACTGCAATCAGAAATATTATTTTAAGTAAAAGCATCCAAGAATAAAAAAAAGATCGCATCGTTCAATTAGCGATGTGGTAAATTCTTCACGATCTTGTGATCAAGTCAAAGGATAGGGACATCATTACATGCATGAATTGCTTTTGCGATTAATGTAGAAAACAAATAAATGAGTAAGTTACCTTCTTTTTCTGTGGCTTTTTCGGTTAAATTTAATATTTCATACAGATTAGTTGTTTTAAAATACTTTTCACACATATCTAACAGACCCATTTTACTATCACAAAGAAGATATCCAACCGCTACGGAAATACTTGATGTATCCAAAATATACAACACAAAACTAGTTTTATTTTAATAATTAAAGCATCAATAGCGCGCCATTCGTGAGATGTCCATTTGACAATTGATATTGTAATTCACTGTCACATGAAGTGAACATTGTACCAGTAGCTTCGTGCATAAGACGCCATACAGCCAAATCTTGGGCAAATGAGGCCAAGAGTACAATGGATGTAGTATAATATATATCAGGACCGAGCACTCCCAGCTAAAAAGTGAGCCGAGCGAGTAAGTAGTAGTACAAAGGCTTTTGTGTCAATTTAAAAAGATGACAATATCATGTCCGTTAAGTGACGCCTTTCATAAATAATGGATTACAATATATTAGAGTCATATCAATATCATAACAGCGTTTATTTACAAATGAGGAAGTATTTAAAAAAAATAAAGAAACTTCACAAATGTATGTCACTAGATGGCAGAACAAATTGTTCTTCTTCTTCTTCTTTTATTAATGGCTTATCTGCGCATTTCGCACAATTCTGCCAATGTCAAGTGAATAAATAAATTTCTACATGTAAAATGAAAATGAAATTAATGAAAGATGGCGATGATGTCAAAATTGTTGTGATGATTAAATTATTCTTGTAAATAAGAGAATAAATACTGTTTTTTTTTTTTTCACCATTCATGCAAGTTATTTGTATCAGTTTATATATAGGTAAAATAAAGAAACTATACAAATTACGTCACTAGATGGCAGCACAAATTGTTGGATGTAAACGACATTTCATGACGTTAAACCAAAGAGAATAGAATTGTCAGTGTTGTTATACATCTGATAACTCGGATTAATATCGAGTTGAAATTTAACTAGTTCGAGTTATGCAAACGCAACTCGATGAATACAAAGTAATCTTTGAATAAAATTCTTTTACATTTGTATAGACGAAAATGGAAACTAACATAATGGAAGTGAACTTAGAGGTTATTTAAATTTATGGAAATCAATTGAATGAATGCTGTGATATAATTAAAAATGGCATTTAGCTACGGTATACAATAATATAACCGCTAAATAGTTTTTATAAATAAAATACTTATGCCATAGTAGGACTAGGATTGTTTTATTATAATATTTAACAAAAGTTCTGAAAACAATAACAACTAGGTAAGTTACTTTTATTGCTATTAGTTGTTTGTTGAACTTACAACAACAAAATTACAATCTCAATAATATTTTTATATTATGTATGATGAATGGATGAATTGGGTTTATTAATCAGCAACAAAAGTCATAAAAACTATAATTATAATAAAAAATCCGTTTATTATCTAAATATTTACCCGATATGTATCAAATATACTATGTATTCGTATAAAATAAGATGACTTGTGGCTAAAATGACGTTTGTGCAAAGTGTAACGTGCAAATAACTTGTGCTTTCGAAATTAAGACTTTAAAAAACTATTAGTTATTTAATCTTATATTTATAATTAAATCATATCAATAAACATTCAGCAATCAACATGAACCGTCTGTTCTAAACGAACAGCAAGGTTATAACTTTAAATTTCAAAATCACAAAGACACGTACAGTTAGATATTATACTATTGCTACTGATCTTGCATGTCGACGGCGACGTCGAGCTATGTGTTAAGCTAATTCGTATGGTGGGTATGTGCTTATTGGTTATTACAATAATATTGTTAATAATAGATTGACTTCCTACACAACCTTTATACTATTTACTAAGTACCTATAGTAGTCATGTTCTCTTAAAATCTCTGCGGTGGTGTCGAGTGCGTTAGGTAGTAACGTACCCTCAAATATAGTATTGTTGAAATTAAAAAAGCAGCCCTTGCTGACTTTCTTGCCGATTTTAGTTAGTATAAGATCTCCCGCCTTAGTTTTGCGAACCATCGGCAAAGTTTTCGACTTTCACAAGTAATATGTAACAGCCTAGACTGAATTGATTTAGATATTTATATTAATATCATTCGTTTAGTGGATGCATAATCACACATACAAATACAAGCTGTATTCTGCGCTCCGCTTTTTGTTCTTAATTCCGAACCTGAATTCGGATGAAAGTTACGAGCAACCAATAATTTGGCTCATCGCTAATGTTGACGTATAATCCAAACATCGCGAGTGACATCTAAAATGATTTCAAGAACTAATTTTTATTTTTAAATACTTCCTCGTTGCATATTTCGTTTATAAATATAAGAAAATACCTGGTTTGTGTAAATCTGGTTTGTCCAATAATTTGGTGGGATTTAAATAAATTACTTATGTATTTATAAAATTATTATGATATTGATTATTTTTACTAATAAAATAATGATAATTTAACATTAATATTATATACAAAATTGATTTAAAATGTTTCTAATTTCCTTCCCCCGTTGGGAGGGTGATTCCGAACTAGCCTTGCGCAATGTACATATATCACTCACGCGAAAAGAGAGATATATGTCGAAAGAGAACAGGTTCTGTTTTTCTTTCTCTGAGCGAGATATAAAAGATAAATATTCTTTTGAACACGATAAAGTAAAGCGATTGAAAGTGAACCTTTCGCAGCTTAATCCTTTTAGTTTGAAATCATTATGTGGACTTATTAAAATGAATGGCTTTTTGCAAATTAACATTTATGTAGATTCTTTCTATAATATTTATATTTTCCCTACATTAATTTACCTAATCATAATTTACCTTTTTAAAATTCGTATTAATATCAGATGTCACGCGCTGATTGATGTTTCGTTTGACTAGAAACATAGCTACATGTCAAGAAAAATTACACATTTTACTTCTTGATTATCAAAATATTTCTATTATATAAATAATTGAATAAAAACTTTTTAACCATATAAATTTTTATTACTTATTTATCGGAATGGTGTGAGACTTCTTTCATACGCATGAACCCAACATATAGTCTGTGCTAACTCTCTAGATCGCTCTGAAGTTGTTTCGAGCATAGTTGCGGTAAGAAAGTAAATTTTATTTTTATGTGCATGAAATACCGTAGCTCTTGTCGTAACTAACCTGTCGTATCGTTTTCATTCCTTGGATTCATATCACTAATTTTGCTCATATCGATAAACTTTTTAGTGTTTTCCATTTATATTCTTTACTTTTTCCATTCTATAACTGTGGACCTTCAATTTTATAGCTGTAACCATTAAAATTCTGTAATATAAACTTATCCAAACCTTTACGAACTTTCATCCTATGTTTTTGTCTACTTATACTAATGTAAACCCTTGCCTGTAGCTTTCATAGTTTTTCTAATCATTTTCTCACCAGTCACCTCGTCCCTTTTATTTTTTTTATTTATTGTAAATAAATTATTTAATTTAATTTACCATCTTTTAGTTTTTTTATTCTTGTTTCATAACACCCTACGCGACACAACTTCAGAGCGAACTAGAAGTTTTGCAAGAACTATTTCATTCACTCGCAGTTATCGTGTTACGAAGATATAAGATCTATTCCGAACCCCTAAGGTTTTCTTAAATTTTCACCATCGACGAGGATAAAACTTTTACATCTGGCGCTCCAATTAGTGGCTCTGCAAAATCCGGTCGTCAACCTGGAGGATTTGAACGCAACGCATTGGGGTGTAGGGGTATTTTCGTCCATTTTGAAAGTAAACCCCAACAAGGTGGCAGACTAACCAAGCAGCAAAGAACCCATGAAACAAGCCTTAGAGTTTATCACAACGAAATTTGGCTGCAAAGCTACGGTGAAGAAATCGGTAAAAGAAACTGAATTTATCTGACCAATAATTTACTCAGTTGTTGGCCTCTATTGCCACGGGTAGAAGCAGTTCTATAGCGTTCTGTCAAGCTTCCTACGATGGCAGCAAAGATCTGGAATAACTTGAAGTATTCCTGGCAAACAGGCATATAGAGCAGGGTGTCCTGTCCATGTATGGGAAAAAATATTTTTTAGATACGGTTACGTAAGAGGTGTCAAAAGTTGAGTGTTGACACATATATTACAATTATCTTAAAATTCAATTAGATATCTGTCATCTTTTGGACTCTACCAGTCCTTAAAGTTTTCAGATTTTCCTTGTTTGGAGTTCCTAATATAAACTTTAAATCATTCAAAAATATAAATGGTTTTTATTAAATTTATGGGTACAATAATGAGTGAACGCAAGGTTTAAAATAGTTGAAAGACAAGTAATGAGTGGCTATTTAAAAACCGGAACTGGTTTTTTTGGCCAAAATTAGGCATTTCCGCGCGAGATATTAATCTTTTCCCAATGAAACCATTCCGAGCTGTAGAAGACGACAGGGGAAGACAACAATGTCGAGGCTGTGTCCTTTAGCCTTCATTATGAGGTCATCATAGGAGATGTCTCGCAAAATTGATGGAGCCGATATCTCACACTCTTGCCAAAAGATTATATTAATGAAATCTTTTGTACAGAAGAATTTACAATAGATCTCTAATTATCAGGCAAAAATCGAGAGTGCATTATCATTTGAAAAATATGCTTGGCTCCATCTTTAAAAGATCAAACAGGGGCGTAAACTTAAAGCATTTAGTTCACAAGCAGCTTCAAGTTATCTGACGACGAAACAGTACTTACATAAAATCTGAGTATGCGATTGGCAGTAGTGAGCCATCTTCCCAGGTTGACTGTTCACTAGTTCCGTGGAACAGGAACCAGTTATCACAGCATGACATATTTCAGTAGAGATACTTTTGATCTGTACTTAGTTCCTTCATAATATTATCAGATAACATAGCTCACATACCTTAGCTACTGTAGGCAGCACCAGTGTTCCGATTCAATGAAGTAGATGGAGTCTCATTTACAAGTACGTCACTATTCGGAGAAAGCTCTGTTGCTAGCGACTGCGGTTGAGGCGGCAACCTGCGCACCGGAACAGTGATATCCGGGATTCTTGTGATGTACTTGTAAAACATGCGTGCTCTAACCGCTTAAATTTTGTTGTCTCTGATGTTTCTTTAAAAGTCTTGTCATTTCTTTTGTGCGTATACCGCTTATTGCCATTTTTCTATCACTTCTTTGGTCCAGTAAATAGTCTCTTTCAGATACAGGATTTTTCTTTGGTTTTATGCAGGAACAAAAGTTTGTTTTGTGGAGCAGAGAAAACCCACGATAGAAGAACATCGAAAGAGTACTATTGGCAAAGTATGAGGAAATAATAGAAAGTTACGATAACATCGCATACCTTGTCAACGATACAATCCTTCGAACTTAAAATTCGCAGTCCTTTTACAAACTTCAAAGATTAATAAAAGATTCGATGTTGTAGCAGTTGATTTATTTGGGACATTATCTACTGATGGACATAACTGGATTCTCGTCATAGAAGATGTTGCAACTAGATAGATTGAATTGTTTACGCTAAAAAGTGGAACAGCCGAAAGGTGTGCAAAGATATTAATTTATGAAATCTTTCTAAGATATGGAATCCCAAGAAGACTCAAAGCGATAATGGTATTCAGTTCATCAGTGCAATCATGCAAGAGGTGACATTTTGTCTGCAAATAAAGCACTCATTTACCGCGGTATATCATACCGAAGTCAATCCTGTGGAACGTCGAAATAGAGATCTTAAGACACAGTTAGCTATTCTATTAGAAAACGATCATCGTCAATGGTTAGAACAACTTCCATCTACACATTCCATCTGATTTACTATGAACACTGTAACCTATTCATATACTGAACACACGCCTGCTTTTCTAACATTTAGTCGAGAACCAAGCATCCCAAATGACAGTGAAAATGATTTAAGAGCAATTGTGTTGACAGAAAATTTCATTCCAGAGAATATTCCTAGGAGCTATAAAATCGCTGATACATTGAAGTATGCTCAGGATGTTCAAGAAGGGTAATAAATAAAAAGTAAAGAGCAAAAAGACAATGGTCGCCGAATAAGTCAATAGTATAAAGTAGGCGATTGTGTCTTAGTAACGCTACATCCAATCAGTCTGCAAAAGGCTTCAGTGCAAAGTATTCACCACGAAAAAATTACCCTATGTAATTCTATAACAAAGGGTTCAACTTCATATATCATTGGTTACTCAAAAATAAGATAATCGTGCGATTTTAAGACTAAATGATCAGCATATTTATGCTTTATTACTACTATGTAAAATTTAGTTTTTGTGCAATTTTGTGATATATTTTTCACTACCGAAACTACCCTATTGTGAACTGAGGGGCTTCTTACTCTGTTTGTCTACGAACAAAAATTTCGAATCGTTCTTTTTTTTTAAATCATATGCGTCAATATTTTCTGTGCATCACAAGCAATGTCAGGGTCCTACTTCCGTTTAATTATTAATTATCGGAAAATGTGTTCATTTCAGTTATATTAGGGTTTTGAAAATAGATGAATTTTCGTTTTCGGAGAAACAGGGTAGATCTTCTGTTAACGGTGATTAGATTACGAACGACATTTAAGCTGTCAGATGAGTTAGTGAATAGGTCTTTGTTTTGTATGTAAGTATTTATATACTTAATTTTCGGAAAATAGTAATAATACTTTGCTTATTACAGGAGTTCTTAGTAAACATAGTTTTTAGATTTACAATGTTGTTATTTTTATTTTACCCTCGAAAAAATATATTGCAACCACTGCAAAAATCACTTGGGCAAACATAGACGCAACACTTTTCACAATTTGAACCGTTGGCAGGTCTAAGAAACTATTAAATTAAAAATGCGAATTAGTTCAGCCCTTATTACACTAGTATACTACCCAATTTCTAAGGTACATTACCCTGGCGTTTGGGTAGTGATATAAGAATTTGAGAGTAAGTGATCGGTGCTTCCCGATCTCTTTTACTCCTTTGCGCCCTGACGATAGCGTAGTGTAAAAGCCTTATCACATTACCGAATTTCAAGAGTCCGATCGATCGGGTGGGCGTCTCCCCTAGTTAGTGTGGCGCTTATTACACTATCCTAGAAATTGAACCCTAACTCAGTTTTTATTGTAGATTATCATCATAATTGTTGCCAGTTTGCCATATTGAGACATGCCCTTGAACTTGGGTAATATAGTAAATCTTTTTGGGAGATCGGGAAGTGTCGATCGCCTTTACTCCCTAACTCTTATTTATTTATTATTTTGCCGAGACAACATTGCCTCTTATTGTGTTACCCAATCGTCAATGTAAGGGACCCTAGAAAATGAGTATAGTATTGGCAGAGGTATCGAGTAGTGGTGTAATAAGGGTTTAATAGTAGTTAGGGACTAAAAATCATATTTAATGAATTTTGTTTTAAGAATGTAATACTATTTGATTTTGTTTTTATTTATGTTGAAATTTGAATTTGCTACATCCTTACAAGGTGTCACATGAGCTGTACTTTATATTAACAACTACTTGTATACTATGTGACATGCTATAAATGAATTATTTACCTTGATAACTCTTGAATATCATCTTCTTTTATGTGACACTGCCTCATAATGCCTATTCGACATTTTTACGACATTTTCGAATTTTCATTAGAGGACAAATAGAATAGGCCTTCCGATGTCAGTTATTAGTACGAGTTATACCTTCTTTTCATCTTAAATTATCGAAATATTAGTTTCTTTGGAGTCTTATTATCATTTCGAAAATAGACAGAATTTCGATTTCGGAGAAAAAAGTGTCATGGTCATGTTAATTTGTACGAGTAACCTTCTTTGTTTTGTTACTGATGTCAAATTACTGGTCATATATATTTTTTTGTCACAAATTATATCAGTTTTGATACATTTTTGACATTTGCCATTTTACAAAATTTGTGATCGCTTGTTTCTACCTTTTATGATAATTATTTACTAGAAATGGATCCCTTGAATTTAGATTCAGGAGATAATAATAAATCTCCAAGGTCTGTGGACGATACTAAAGAAATAACTGAAAAATATCAGACGAATGAAAGTTCTGAAAGACAAAAACAAGTGGGATGTCTGCAAAGTTTCAAACAAGACGATACTATAACTCCCAAAATGATTGAAGACAACGAATCAAAATTAAAAGAGAGAATAGCTCAATGCCGAGATATCATAGAGTCTTTGAAACTTGAACTGAACAAGGAAAAATCTAAATTAGGTAAAGACAACAAAAATTGTGAAGAACCAACTGTCTCGGATTATAATCCATCAGTCCCTCGAGACACATATAATGCAGAGTTGTTATTAGGTGATCTATATTCTAGTGATATGTACAGCACTAGTGTTGACGATAGACTTAACTGTGATGAAAGCCTTATTGAATATGAAAAGCAACTGCAAAGATATCAAAATACATTAAATATGGCTCAAATAGAGAAAAAAAATGCTATTAGGAAACAAATGTTAGCAAAAGCATTCAAACTAAAATTACTGGAGGTTGAAAACCAATGTAATATTGAGTTGCTTCGAGTGAAGCAGAGTTTACAGTGTCTAGAACCATTGCAAATGATCGCTAATAAATGGAAAACTTGTAATAATTCCACATACGACATTGATAATTTTGAACTTATACCTAGATTTCCTGAACTAAGCGCCAATTCTGGAAGTGATATAAACTCATTCAGAGAAGATTGCGATAGTAAAGCTTCACCAGAGAAATCCGTAATTTGTGCATTGGAAGGCTTTTCTTATGAGTAATAATGCCTTATTTTTTTATAATAAAATGTAAATTTTGCTTTATCCCAAATCCCAGGTTTATTTGTCATAATATAAATCAATGAATATTTGATTGTATTTATTTTAAAGGACTTAAGGATTTATTGGAAATGATTGTTCAATATAGAATTGTTTAAAACAATATACTATTGATTGTTATTATTAATTCGCTATATCATTAATATTCTTCGTAATTTGAATATTGTTTCACTAGGCAAACGAAATTAAAAAATATGGTTGTCAAATATAATTTAACGCATGTTCCCTCTGTATGTGAATGAAGGAGCCCGATGGTGCAGTGATGGAAGGAAATTGTTGTATTTAAATATTTCAGAACATATATATTTTAAGTTTTCATTAATATTTTTCATCTTATTTTGTTGCAATCGTCGCCAAAATTAATCACTTTTGAAGATTTAACTTCGTATTTTTATATCAGGGCATTGGCCCTGGGTGAAAAAACCTAAATGAGATTAAAGATCAATTAATTTCTTTTGAAATAAAACCGTCAGTTGTATGAAAACAATTTGAAGCTCTTTTTTTTTAAGCTTTAAAATGGCTTTTGGTGGATAAACAATTAATTTGGCAACAATGTTTTTTATAAAGCACTATCCTTTATCATTTGTTCTTCTTAATTGATGTAAATTTCAAAGTAGCGAAATAATATTTCATTTCATATTGCTATAACATGGTTAGAATTATAGGTAAAGGAGTTAGGCGGTCGCTCCGTCACCACCCGAGTGCGTAGTAATATTTCTTATGAAAAATGAACTTACAATACAGAGCGCTTAGTGTAAGTTTTTTTGATGTTTACATTCACTGTCGATCGTGAGCGCGTTAAGATTTTAGTATGGAATCCGGTGCAGCGCCCCTAGCGGTAACTACCAAGAACTACGAATCTTCATACAAAGGACATTGCTCAACGTCCATTGGTGGCCCCAGAACCAAAAAAATATAGGAAAATACTTATTTTATTGTGTGTCACTAACTAATTCTCATTATGTATTCATTATACCGCGACCGAGTTTTAGAACTTATTATCACGCAAAATATAATTCACTTTGAGGTTATAATGTGTTTGGAAAACCACCAAGAGATGGCACTCTAAGTACATGATATGATATTGATGTCTATATTGTCGAAGCAAAAAAACTCAACTTTAAGAAAGTCGGTTTTTGTTGTGATTTGTAAAAGTTTCTAAGTCAATCAATAGACAAATAAATCATTCTTATAGTTAAATAATATACATATTGATTAGCTTAAAATTAAAAACCTATAGCTTTTTGATGGTTTACATCAAAAGATGGCGCCTTAAATACGTAAATGACATGATGTTAATATGTTTACGAGAAATATAAAGGTAATGTAATAGAAACAAAGTAGTTATTAGGATATGTCGTATGAATATCAATCTTTCTGAATAAATAAGAGTGAATTATCAACAGTTAATGAATTTAGTATAATATTCAGTTTTTATTTCCTTATGTTTTATTTGGAAAACCACCAAGAGATGGCGCTTTTAGTAAATTTAAGTTTATTTTCGGTCAATTTAATTTAATGTTTTTGTGTTCGATGATTTAAAGGTTATCTGATAAAAATAAATGTTCTTCTTGATCTGACGTGTAAATAACATCCATCTGACTTAATAGAATTTAAGTGTATTGAATGTGAATATTTGCGAATAAAAATGTTACTGTTAAAGTACTTTTAAATATTAATTTTGGATCGCAGCTTGTCCGTATCAAATAAACATTTGATTCCAATTTGATAAATAAATTAATAATTGTTATTGAAATATTAATATTTAATGGTATTGGGGCCATTTTCGGCGATGTCCTTTTTAACGCGCTCACTAGTGAACGCGTTAGCGTAAAACTTATACTTACCACTCTGGTACAGTTACATAGGTAAAATACATATCATAATTCGAGTATTTAAACAATCAACACCTGGGAGCGGCCTCACAAATTTTATGGATTTTATCAATGGATATATTCATATTCCTTTACAATTTATATGTTTATTACTTTTAACATATTTCATCAAAAAAATTATTTCAGTTTTTGATATGATAATTTGGTTTGTCTAAATAATATAGCAACTAAAACAATTGATTAATATATAAGTGATGCGATTTGAGTAGGATTTTGAGACTCGAGTCAATCAAGTTATTTAACTACCTCACTCGAGTCATACCACATCGAGTTTTCGATTAGAAAAATTATAAAAGTGCTACTCTTGTGAGATGTCTCTTAATAATTTTTAATAAATAAAAAACACATTAAAAGAGTTTTAACATATTATTTATATAGGTAATCAAGAAAATAAAAAATAAGCGGCATAGATTAATAAATTAAAGCAGCAAAGTGACATCTAGTGACTAGAAAATCAACACGATACGCTGAGTGACTTTATAACTCCAGTGCATAGAGATTCGAGTGATATATTTTTCGCTCGAGTTTAAGTTTTATAAATTCAATCGAGTAACTCGAGTTCAACAGGACTCGAGTAGCATCTCTATTACATATGTAAATAATAAAACAAGAGCATTATAAACGAAGACAAACATAGATATTCATGAATAAATTCAATAAAATCTATTTAAAGATATGACTAGAGTTAGACAGTCGCTTTCCAGGCAAATGATCCCGTGTATGAAATAATAGCTTTTGCCCGCGATTTCATCTGGAACATATTGGATATTTATTGTTTTTTTTTGTTGCAGTATCTTCGAACTTAAACTTCAAGGTAATTTCATCATCAGCTCGAAAAACAACAGCGTTTTTTATAAATATATGCTGCCCAAAGTAACTTACCACACGGACGAAGTCGCGGGCAAAAACTAGTTAAAATATAATTATAAAATTATAAACGCTTGTTTCATTATTATTAACGTAATTCAAAATTATAATATACTTATTTGTAAAGCTACCTATATTTTGCATGTCGGTATTTATTTAGCAAGCGCTTTATCGATACCAAGGTTCGTATGCAAAATATTTTCAATCAGCAGAAAACGGTGTGAACATTTGATTTTAATAAATCAAAAACGCGAAGAGGACCTCCAAAGTGGACCACACACATCGCGGCACGCGCTTCGAATGCTAGTGACTTTTTGTTTTGCCGCCGAGTGTAGATCGCGCTCGTTCGGCAATCGCCGGCACCCGGTCGGGAGGACATGGCTGACGTCACGCGCGTCTGCCTGCGCCAGCGCCCGGTCAGTTAGGAACTTGAACTTTATTATAATAAGATTCCAATTTGTCAATTAGAGGGCAGTGCATGAAAGAAAACTGGTTTGACTTCTCTACACCTCGTGTCTTTAGAGATGAGCTTTACAAAGTGTTTAGGTACGTAAAGGTGCATGCACCTATTTTGTGACAGTTTCAAACTGTCGACTTATAACACTTACACTTCCTACAACATATGTCTCATTCATATTTTTAATAAAAATTTTATAAGTAATAATAATATTTTGGTATTCTATTACTACTTCCATAAGTAGGTACAAGCAGCGGATTCAAATCGTGTAACCTTTATGTATTCTTTGAAAGTGTTATTTCTCATTTACAAGCTGCACGAAATATAAAAGAATATTAATATATATGCCACCATATAATCATGGTAATGCAACTATAACAAGTTTACTGGCAACTGGAAACTGTAAAGACTCAGGACAAAGACTCAGAATTTTTAACAAAATGTAATCTCTGAAATCCCACAGAATATCTATTATTTGTTTACAAAGGATTGTTTGACAAAGAATTAGGATGAAAAACAAAACCAACAGATACCCTTAGCTGAGGCGAGATTTCTGTTAGGTTAAACGCTAGCCAAATCTGGAAAGAATAGGTATATCATTCAAGAGTTTACATATTGTAATCAAATCTGAACCTGAATAAGAGAAAACTGGATAAGCGAGAAAACCCTATAAATGACACGAGCTAGGTCCCGAAGTATTAACCCTCCAAAACCTATATAGCAAACCTAAGAAACAAAAACCTCTTTAAGAGAAAGTAGCTTTTCAATGTTGAACCACCAAAACCAATACTTGCCTCTACATCTATATGTGACAGTCAAACCTATTGAACATTGTTATTTATGAATTGTTTATCTTAAACGAGAAACCATAAAAGCTTAAAAAAATAGAACCGACTTTAAAGTATATAAAATTAAAAAAAAAAATTTAAGAAAATGCTATTACCTCTATAAGACCTCCGCCCGACTTGAATAGTAATTTCTTGAATAAATCGTTTTTAGAGATAAGTATTATTTATTACTTTTTAAAATTTGATATCGGTACAATTTTATTTTTATGTTTTTTATTGATATATATATATATTTTTATATAATGGGTAACGCAAAAAACTAGATTTCCGCCAGCGGCTTCGCCCGCGTGGTACGAAGAGGGATTTGTTTAAATAAATAGTTATAAACAAAACAATATCCAAATAGATATTGTTTCAAATCATGACATGAATATAATTATAATGACAAATTGAATTAGAATGTTGCCATAGGGATGTTCATCGCGTGTGATGTAGCTTCCCGTAGGTGTAAGATTTTTGAAAATCGGTGTAGTAGTATCGGAGCTTATTCGTTGCCAACAAACAAACAATTATATCTTTCCTCTTTATAACATTTGTATTGATAGAAACATACTTATTCATTGATGAAAATGCTTGAATCATTAGAACGTTCTTATAGCTATGGCTAGTTATAGCGAGAGAGCGATTTCTTCCAAAGACTGAACAAAAGATTGAGAAAACAGAAAGATTGAGTGTATTTTATACTGTAAAAATGCATTACTCTATTATACGCGGGCTTTATCTGAAATCTGTGCAAACCACTACCTTACGCAGAGCAGTCGCTTTGATTGCGAAAGATTTTTAATTTTTAAGCATTTTTAAGCATTAGAACAAATTTTCATCTTTATCAAAAGTTTAAAATATTTGTAAATATATACGTATTTCTTTCGGCTGTTT